AGAGAGTGTGTGGAATTGAGAAAGAATGGAAGCCCTGGGCTGTGAATGTTAGATCAGAGAGGAAACTGGATGCAGAAAACCCAGAATTCTGTTGTCCTAGGACCCTGGATCCGAGAGTGCTCTGTCTGGAATCTCAGGGAATGCGGGCTCTTTAGTGAGATATATAGCTTCATAATTAGCCCGTTGCATTTTTTCACAAGTGCTAGCATCAGCGTTCTACGATGTGTTTCTCTGATTAACAGCTGCTTTGCAACTATTTCCTTGTGCCACCGATGACCATATTTGTCAAGGAACTCCTGACAGAGTACTGATTTCTTACTAAAATGCAGCATTTCTGCTTCAAGAAGGGTCTCTCCTTCTCAGCACTGTGTGGCTTTTAAAGTCAACCCTTGTTAAAACTCGAGTTGGCTTTGGTCTAATGCTTGTTAACAGGATTCTGGGGTTTCTACTTTAGAGCAGGAGCGGAGGAACCTTTCACAGGCAATTTAATCTTGTGAGCAGCGCATGGTCGCGATGCTGGAGTGGGGTTTCAGGTCCTCATCTTGGTCATTTTCCCTTGCCTTCTAGTTGTGATCTCCCTGGGTTAAAAAGGACTTGGCTCTGGTCGATAGTGTCATTAATTTTTGAATATTTTTAATATTTTAAAATGGCTAATGAATGCTCACATTTTAGGAGATAGATGTGTATAGAGTACACAGGAGTGCTGGAATTGGTGGCATTCCAAATAAGTGTCACTGGAGACAATGCATCAGGTTTACATGTCAGGAGCAAAGTGCTAAGGCTCCCTGAAACCCCAGGTTTGTTATTAGGCAGGCTCTGTTCTCCTGTCCCCCTCGTGTAGAAAATAAAGTGTGTGCTCTGAAGATTACGACGTGCGGGTCTTTTGTGGGAGAATGGAAAACACATAGGAAGCATCTCTTCAGTGAAGACTGTCAGGAACCTAGATTCTTCCCACCAGGGATTACTTACCCCACACAATGCATTTAACAGTGCGTAGTTCATAGCAGATAACCCCTGAGTATACTGTATTCCATTGATTTATACAGTTACAAATCCTCGTCTCTCAAACACAAATCTCTCTCAATTGGCCAGTCATCTTGAATCCAAAGATGTTTTTCAACCCGAAGTCCCCCCCTTTTTTTCCAGACTGCTCCCAGGGACTTCAGCATAACCATTGTTACAGATTACAAAGACATTTTACTCCTCTCCTGTGTATCTCAGTCTTTTCCTCTACCTTTAAAGTGAGAAAAAGTAAAAATTACCGAATTTTCCTAAAATTGTGGTGGCAGGGTTGTTTTCTTTTGCTTGGGGTGGGGGCAGGAGGAGAGACAATAGGGCCAGAGGGGTTGCGGGAGTGGGAAACTTTGCTTCTATTTTCTTCTGAGTTCATCTTATTTTTATTAAACTAGCTACTCGTAACTCCATGTGCACTTATTAAGAACACAGCCTTTCAAGGGGAGGGCGAGGAGAGCCGATTCCATGTTTATCATGGACTCCAGCAAGTGGCTCAACAATGGCATCAGCTTTGCACTAGAATTCCCCCTGGCTTGCTGCACTCCCACAACATGCGCAGTAAAGTTCCTGTCTCCGTTTTACATCTTTGACATTGAGGCGGAAGATTTGGCCTGAATTTATGTAATTTAGTTGGGCACAAATATAACCCATGAATAGTCACATTCATCGTCTAATTAGAAAATCAAATGATAATATGGGACAGGCTGCAGGCACCCCATCATTGAATCCAACAAAAGCATGTTGTGTGTGTTGGACCTCTGCAGAGGAAAGTCAGTTGAATTGCTTTATGAAGTTAATGAAAAGTGTCCAACAATAGGCTGGTGAAAGGCCCAAAGCAGCACCCTGTCAGTTATTCAGTGGGTGAAGATCTTAGCTTTATGGGTAAGGAATTTTGGGAAATCTTGTACTATCCATGTATGAGTCACAGAGCTATAAAATTCTAGATTGGACAGGTCCTTCCCCTCCATCGTAGCCCCAGTCTTGTGGGGGAGGGAGGAGAGTGAAGAGTAACTGGAGAAGTAGTAAGTGAAAGGAGGAGAGAGGTTTTGGATGTTCATGCTTGCATGTAGCTGCTTATCTGGTATCTTTCTTATTCAGCACATTATGTGGAGGCTATTAGTTTGGGTGCTTTATATTTTTGCATCTGGTATAGTGATATCCACGCTGTTAAATATGTGATTTGCCTGTCACCTGCATTTTCAAAGATCAAGAGGAACATAAACAAGCCCCAAATACACTTTATGTAGGTGTTCGGCAGTATTATTTTATATGACTTGAAATTAGTGAATGGAAACTTTAAAAGAAATTGTTCATATTTTTGCAAGTTTGAAGTGTGCCGGGACTTTGTCAAATTCCCGTTAAAATAAATACGTCAATTTCGTCTCCCTTCCAAATTCATTTATCTTGCTTTTTTAAAAGGTGTTTTCTACTTTACCTGATGTTTAAATTGGATTCGCTCGTTTATGCTGTTCTTTGCTATATCCCCCACGTTTTTCTTAAATGAATTACTAATGACAGAGCACTCCATCATTCCCTCTCTGCAGCCACTTTAAGGAAAGCATGGTGATCTAAACCTTTTAACCTATTAAAGATGATTTTTCCCAATTGAATCAGACCCACCACAGGTGTAATAACTAATCATTTAAACTACACCTGCTATTATGTATTTTTAAGCCATTATGCGTGTTGGATAGATGATAATTCATGTTTATTGCATTGTCCGATGGATCCGTTTTGCCTACACTAGGCTGATTAATGTATTTAAAGAAATAAGAGATGCAATTTTTTAAAAAAAATTGATGGAATGCGCCAAGCACTGCATTGAGTGCACCATTAAACCCATCAGAACTTTGCTCTCTGACCAGAAATGCATATACCAAGGACTATATTAAAAAAGCAAGGTGAAACCCGTGCATTTTAGTAGTGGGGTTCTGTTTTCTTTCTGTCATGGGAAATTTTGGGAGGATGCGGGAGAGGGTGAATGATAGAAGCTGTGCTGTTTGCACCTCCTGCCTAAGACCTGTTCATCCACATTTCCTCTGACACCTGGTACACACATCAGAGCGGCAGAGACTGCCACATGATACCAATACTGTCATTTTCTTGTGTGTTGAAGGTGCATTTTTTTCCTCCAGGTGAAGAACAATTATCCCAGAGCCATCTGAGCAGTGCAGATTGGCGTTGACCCCCGGGGCCTGTGATGCGTACCTGTCCTTCTCTTTACAGAGCGTGGGCCTCTCTCTTCCTTTGTTTTTTCCCTTCTTTCCTTTTTCCCGCTCCTTCCTTCTGTCTTGTCTCCTCCTGTCCTATGGCCTCCTCCTTTCCCTTTCCCTCCTTATTTCTTCCCTTTTGTCTTTTCTCTTTCTTTCCTTCCTGTTGCTCTTCTTCCATCTCTTCATTAAAATGAGCCACTATTATAGATGTTGTTAGATTTTGCTTGATTTTGGTGCAACCTGAGGCCATCTGGTTGAGGGGCTGAGGGGTGGGCATTTAACTTTGGGATTCTAGAAGGTCAGGCATTGATCTTTCTTTAGTCCAGAACTGTCTGTTTGTTTTTGCGGTTTGTGAACATGTTCAGTGAATTTGCAATGTTGGAGGACAGATAAGAACTGTAGGGAGATGACTGTGGCTGTCAAGGAATATTAGTATGTCTTATGGGTGACAGGCCCAGGTCAGGAAGGTCAGGACACTGAGCTCATCCTTTAGGAAGAAGTCTAGGGTGAGCCTCCCACAGAGAGGTTATAGGAAAATAAGGGAATTTTCTGCACCTCCCCCGACCCCTTTTCTGATTACCTTCCTATCTTTTGTTCTGTCTGCTCTCAGGATTAAATTTATTTAAAATGTGGGGAAGAAGATGATGTATAACTTGCATTTTGTCTGCAGTCCCAGTGCTGTTTGAATTGCTGTACAGTTGCTCCCTTATTTTTAAGGATCACAGAAAACTTCTTTATATCTGCCTCCTGAGAAGTGTTTTCTTTCAAAGGCTTAAGAGTCAACTGCGGGGCTTGTTGGCTTTACCTGTAACAGGAGACCATTATTCTTTTGGTTTTCACGAGTTGAACAGAGCCATTCATTCAAAACAGCCCCCTTTCCTCCCAGGGGCAGGTTGGTGCTTCCCATCCTTGCATCTTGGGCGGCAGAAGGCCATGTGAACGTGTGCCTCAAGGGTGCTGAGGGACAGTGGAGACTAATGCCTTTAGGGTCTCCCTTCCATCCCCTATTTGGCTTATTTGTAGACAAGATTTCATTAAATAATATTCCTCACCAGAGGTAGGGAGATGATCTGTTAGTCTACAGCATTTAGCCAGGGAACCCCAAATTTTGCCCTTTGATGGCTCTTCCAGCTGTGCTGCACAGGAGGGACTGGTGTGGCAGCTACATGTGTCATCTCTTATACAGTCCTCTTTGGCCGGTAAGTGCTCAGCACTCACTCACAGTGTGGCCAGGGAGGCAGCCTGATATTCAAAGACAGTGTTATCACACCTTCAGTTATTTGCACACACCACAGCACTGAGGAATGAGAAGAGGGAGATGAGAGAGAGCTTGCTTATTTAGGGAATGCTCCGAGGAATCAGAACAGGCTCTAGAAGGACTGCTGTGGTGGTGGTGGTGGTGGGTGTGTGTGTGTGGGGGGGGGGCATAGTCGGGTAGAGGTGGGAAAGGGAGGACTTCAGAAAGAGGGTTGCATAGCACAAGGGTAGTGACTGGGTGAGTGGCCAAAAAAACAGCTTGAACAGGGAAGACAGGAAAGACAGACTGCAGGTCTGAGAATGTAAGCTGAGGGGTTATATTTGATCACTCAGATGCAGGAAGACTTGGGAATGACCTGATCTTACATTTAGGTCATTTTTAAACCTAAGAAATAACTAGTTATACATTTTATGATAGTCGTACACTTGTTTCTGTGGCCCTGGGAACTTGAGGATTTTCATCTTGAAATTCAGACTGTTGAAGTTAACTCTTTTCTGTTTTATCTTCCCCACCAGATTGCCACAGCAGTGAAGTTTCTACAGAATTCCCGGGTTCGCCAGAGTCCACTTGCGACCAGGAGAGCATTCCTTAAGAAGAAAGGTACAGGTTTCCCCAGCCAGGCAGAGTGACCTGCAGAAAGGGGCTGAGGATGGGGCGGGTGAGGCTGTAATGCGGAAGTGGGTGCTGTGGAGATGAAGGCTTTCAGCCTGCCCGGGGAAGTCCTCTTGTCTAAGCCTGGAGAGTGAGAGTGAGACGACCCCCACTTGGGGAATGCAGATTTCTTTCCTAGCAGTGGAGCAAAGAGGTTACATGATTTGGTTAATTAAGCACCAGCTATAAGGCCAAGACCAGCTTGGCAGAGGGAGCCTTCATAGCAGAATTGGTCTGTTGAGTAAGACTGGAAGACTTCTGCTTTCTGGTCCCATCTTCTGTCAGCAACCCAGGCTGCAGAAACCTGGCTCTAGGAGGCCAGCTTCTTCAGTAAGGAATGAGGAAGAAAAAAGTGAAGGACAAGGGGAACAAGTTGACTGAACAAGGTCAGGTTAAGGTCAAGCTCTGGGTCAGTCTGATTTGCGAATTGAAGTGGTAAATTACTGGTTTATGGTACTTCTGTAAGCAGGAATAAAATGGATACTGACATATTCAATATTGTCTGAAACAGACAGAATCTATTCTGGTTCTGTAGGAATTTAGGATATTTTTCTTTTTCGTGAAATGAAAACAACCAACTAACCAACAAAAAAGAAGCTGGAATTTTCATTCTTGGAATATTTAATTTTATGGAAATCTTGGAAGTTGTTTAAAGGCCTTTATGTAACATAAGAGGGGAAAAGCAAGCCTCCCCCCCTCCTAAAAAGACCTGTTTTTTTTTTTCTTTAGAAGCTAGAGTGTTGGAGGGGGCTAGGGTTGTGGCTCAGAGGTAGAGTACTTGCCTAGCATGCGTGAGGCGCTGAGTTTGATCCTCAGCACCACATAAAAATAAAATAAAGATATTGTGTCTAAATTTAACTAAAAAATAAATTAAAAAAAAAAAAAAGCTAGAGTGTTGGCCTCGAAATTCTGATGTTTCAGTCACTTTTGCCTGGAATAGATGATTGAATATTTTGGTGACATTTCCTAGGGCTGCTCCATGATGTTCCACCAAAGTAGTGCTGTAAGATCCTGCTGATCCCTTTTCCTGCTCACAGCCCAGGGCCTGCTCACAAGGTTTGGGCACAGTAAGCCCAAATGTCTCATTCACAGGCAGCTGCTTAGCAGCAGCCCCAAAGCTGGGTCCCTGTGATGGAGTTGGTGAGGGCGTAGTGTGCTCTCTGGCTGTGTCTCACTTACCCCGTCATTAGGAGATTATTAAAATTTGGAGTGTGCTGGCTGGCCTCTCCACTCGGCAAGCATCATGCCATAAAAGAGTTTTTCCTTGAAATATGTGTACCTATGGGGAGTAATTAATCATAAAAGCTTAGGGATTTCAGCTCTCTCATCAAAGCATTGAAGCAGGGGAAAGCTGAGCCTAAAAGCTGAGCTGATTACCCGGGGTAACCTGAGACAAAATCTATGGTTGCCCAGAGATCCTTAGCCCAGTATATTGTGCAATATTATAACTGTCTGATCTTCTCTTCCACCGACAATGACCAGTTAGTCCTCATTTTCTCTCAAACGCAGCTGGGTTAGAATTTCATTTGCAGAAGGTATTTAGAGCAATTTAGAGACAAATGTCTCTGGTGTTTGCTCGGCACTTCCCTACCGCAGGCTTTGCTGAGCAGTTTTAGTATCAGGAGCTCCATCTAATCTGTTTAATTTTAATAAATCCCTGACTGGGAGAGGGAAAGAAAAAGAGAGAGAGAGAGAAACTCTGGACCAAATAATACTTCTTTTGAGTCACTTGGCTCGTAATTACTGTAGAGAGGAAACCGTTTGGTGCAATTATTATTTGTTGCTCTTACCCAACTGATTAATCAATCAGTTTACCCAAGGGGAGTGGCTACCCTGTGCCATGCCCTGCTCTCCCCCACAGGGATGTACTAAGAACAGAACACATAGAATCCCTGCCCTTGCCGAGCTTCAGTGCTGAGACAGGCAGTGAACAAATGGAGCAGCGAAGTCTGTGGGATATCAAATGGAAGTGCCACGGGACAGAGCAGGGAGTGAGGGGATGAGGGACACCAGGGCTGGTGTGGGATGGTCACACACAGGGCTTGTTGGTCTCTCTAAGAGAGTAGTGTGTGAGCAGGGACCTGAAGGAGACGAATATTGTTGATGGAGTGGACCCAAATTTGGCTTGGAGATTTTAGAATTTGGGGAGCCGTGAGACGCTACCCTACCCTTCTTTCTCTAAAGAGAACCATGGGAGTTTTTCCCTGTACTTAAACCCAGAATCACTGAAGCTAATCACCCATTTCCATTATCCTCTAAAATGCTGCTTCAGTTGGTAATTATCCATTTCCGAGTTGAATCCCAATAGGGTAAGTTCTGGCAGGACCCTTTCTGGGCAGAGAATCCCAAGGTTTGATTGGCGTCTGGGGAAGAAAAGCCCCTCTGTGGATTTAAACTTCACTTTTTTAATTTCCGCTATTCCTTGGGTCAGGCTTACATGACCAGCACAGCTTGGCACTATCTCTGAAGGGGACAAAGGAAGAGCAGCTGCCCTGTCCCTAACTAACAGTAGTTGTAGAAGGGCAGAGAGTTGGCTCGCTGGCCGTCAGGGGCAGGAGAGAGCAAGGTTCTGGCACCGTCACTCTGGGGTCTCCCTGCAGGATCATTGCTGTGGTGGGTTTGGGGCGCTGGCTTTGGGAGCGCTCTCAGCTACTGTGGGCTTGGCGTTTCCTAGCAAATGTCACTTCAGGGAATTGCAGTGGAGCACTGACTTGAATTATAATCTTGACTTTCTTTTTTTTAATAAACATCTCTGTCCTGAAAAGGCAAATCCAATTTTGTTTTTCTTTTAATATTATTTAATATTTAATATAGAAATTGAGGTCCCTGTAGTGCATGTCAGTTAGTGGAAAATGAGGGTTACTTTAGGCGCATCGGCTGAGTTTGTTTTATTGAGAAACCACAGCGCAGTGTGGAGCAGGCCGCATGCTGCCTCTGTTACTGACAGGTTAAGTGTTGTGCTTTCTGATTGGGGGTGTGGGGGTGGCGGGGAGGGAGTGGGCTAGGAATGGAAAAGCATTGGTTTGCAAAGGTCTGTCTTATTTTGTTTTGAGATCTCTTTGGGATGCCTTAAAGTCTGAATATGGAGTCATTAATGAGAAACATGGAGTTATTAGAATCATTTATCATTTTCTTTCAAGTCTGTACTGCCATTTTGTATAATTTACAGCATTTCTTCCTTTTATCAGGAAGTTTTTGGATGAAAGGGAAAAGCAGCTGTTCACCTTCAGAGTGTTAGAATAAATGTTTTTGTTTTCCTTCCAGACACCCTATTCTGCAGCTCATCAGCTGCCGAGTCAGCCCCACATGACGACTGGGGTGTGTGTGTGGGGTTTAAGCCCTCACAGAACTGGTCTATATATAGAAACAGTTCTTGTTGGCATGCATTTTATCTGGGGCTTTAAGCAAGCTGCAGTCTAGGGGGCCAGAGGACCCTAAAATTAGCAACAGGATCAGTCCAGGAAGTTAGAAGCTTGGAGATGCTTATCAGTAGGCTTATATTGATTTGACACCCTGTCCAACCCCAAAATGTTTGGAGGCAGTCTGTTTCCAACCTTGTTGAGCAGGCTGAGTACCAGGTGGGTTAAGGTGATATGTAGGTGAGCCAAAGGAAGGACGGGGTGAGGAGGGGATGGCGTTATCTGTTAACTAGCATGCCATTCACAGAGCAAGCTTCTAGTGCAGGGTGAGCATCGCACACATTCCCGCAGAAGTCTGCTGAGTGGGGCCGGGGGTGATGTTGGCTGACACTTTTACTTGTTGTGCCCTTCTGAAGTTAAGGGCTTTTTTTCTTCTTTCATCTAATAAATAGTCCTTGAGTACAGGATGAGGGTAGGGAAGGAAAACTAAACAAATAAAACATACCACCATACTTTCTCATACTAAAAGGTGAAACTAGATCTTAATCTTTTTTCTGTTCCTGGAAGCGGAACCCAGTAGCAAAACTGCCTCCTTGCTGGAAGGAACCTGATGGTCTCAACCTTGGTAGTAGATAGAGGTGAAGGGCTTACTCTCGATGGAGTATTTTAAGGGGGAGTAAATTCTTACACAGATTTCAGTTTAACTCTCTTTTATTACTTTTCTTTCTTTCTTTCTTTTTTTTTTTTTATCATTTACATCCATTTCATGAGGTAGTTTGCATGTCCTTGAATGGAATCTCGTTACCATGAAAGCTTTTTTAGCATTGATTTCATAACAGTCTTAATTTAATAGCTCCGTCATTACTGAGAAGCTCTGGGAGTGGGGCCCTGGCTTTCCAGGTCACTGACCTTTTAATTACAAACCTTGTTCTGATGGCCAGGTTATCGACTGGACAGCTCCCAGCTTGTGCCCCAAGGATGAAAACGAAAATAACTGTGTTTCCTCCCCCATCTCCAGGAGAAAGAAAAAAAAAAAGTAACCTCTTGTGTTTCTAAAATTAATTTTCTCCTTCAGCTTTACTTTATAATTAATTCTTTAAGTGTCTTGGTGAAGCTAGAAATCTTTTTACAATGCTTTTGTTCCTGGAGCTGGGGTCCAGCAGATAGCTTGGGGGTCGGGGCAGAAGGCTTGCCAGCACCACCCTTTTGTTGACTGCGGCTGTTGCCTCTTCCCCTGGAACTCCTGCAGCTGAGCTGGAAGGAGTAGTGTTGGCACTGTGAGGGGCCGTCTGGCCCTTTTGAGCCTTTGTTAAGGGGACCTGGATTATGGCATCAGGATTTCAGTGCACTCCTATATTTGCAGGAGTGATTAAACTGGGTATATATCATGGTCATTTTGGAAGTTGTGCCTGTTCTGAGAATAGGTAGGAGTTGAATGGCTTTTCTTATTGCCCTTAATTCTCTGTTAGTCTTAGATGACTGAAAGAATCAAGTATCCTTACCTGAGGAGTTCTAGTTGATCATGAACTTGAATCAAACAGGACACTTAAGTTTTCTATCATTAACTGTGAAGAGGAAGAGAAAACAGAG